CACTCTGTTCCACCTTGTGATGTCATGTACACTAAGTGCTCCACTGTGTTTCTAAACTCCATACACCTTCACTAGAATAATTTGGATACTTTCAGACATGGAATTGCCAATCTGTATTGAACAAAAGGTAAAAGGAGCTGTTAACTTGAAACCTACCGCTTCATGACATCACAAGGTAGAACAGAGCATTTTGAGCTTTGGAGATGTAAACAGACTAATAATAAAGAGATACTCAAACACGTGTGAATGAAACAAAACACAACTCCAAGTAAGAGGTAACAACAACATTGCTTAAAGTTCACAGGATCATTTGAGCGCAACATAGGACTTTCATATTTCAGTCTTCTGTAATGCTCCTGGCATTGTTAACAATTTGCACTCTAAACAGAATCCTACTTTCTGAATATAAATCGCAAATGAAATTACAATTGCAGCCCAGCTTTGGAGACTTGTTTAGCACGTCCCCACAGACACTGCCTCAGTGAAGGATGAGTCAAAGCACAAGCCTACCATGACAACTGTAGCTAATAATGTCACACTGAAGTCAGCCAGGAGCGAGACTAGAGCAGAGATCTGAAGGGGACGTGGCACTGGTAGAATCTGGGCCAATACCGGCTTGTCAAAACCTGATCCTGTCAGATCTCAAAACCTAAGCAAGGCCTGGCCTGGTCAGTACTTGGATGGGAGACCATTGGGAAAATCAGGTGCCACAATGGGGCACCAGTGGCAAAGACTGTTGTTGTGTCCTTAGGCAAGACACTTCACCCACATTGCCTAGTATGAAAGTGGTGTGGCAGCCTCGCTTCTGTCAGTCTACCCCAGGGCAGCTGTGGCTACAGTAGTAGCTTACCACCGCTAAGTGTTGAATGAATGAATAATGAACTGTAAAGTGCTTTGTATATCTTGAAAGGCGCTATATAATGCAATGATTAATGAATGAATGAATAAAAAATTAAAAAAAATACACAAATAATTAAGATATTTTGCCTTGTAAAATTAAGTTTTAAAAAATGAAATAAAACAGAGTGTCCATCGTGTTCAGTTCCAAATATGCACAGTCCTTGTAGAATACGCCGCTGACACTGTGAGAAGGAAACATGGTTCCAGTCTTACTCTGAGTGAAGTATTACTGTCTGAAATCTACACACATAAAAATTTGTGTACTACTACTACCAGTGTTGTGCAAGTTCACACTTTTCATGAACTAGTTCAAAGTTCAGTTCACACTTGTTCAAAGTGAATAGTTCACGTTCATAGTTCACAATTTTAATTTTGAACTAGTTCAAAGTTCAGTTCATTTTATATTTAGATGAGATCTGTAAATGAAAGGCTGCATTTATTTTTCAAACTGACTTCTAGTTTACTTTACAAGATCCACTGTTGGACAAGTGACTTTAAAACTGTAATGTTTTATTTATGACTTGTTACTGTCATTTCAAAGTCATTTGTTACATTACAATATTACTGTATTTAAAATGTAAAACATTATATGACTATTGCAGCACTTTTAATTTACTCTCACCAAAAGAACTGTTAAGATGCTGAACTTTTGCGCCGTATATGGACTGAACCAGGACTAAACCAGGACTAAACCAGGTCTAAACCAGGTCTAAACCAGGTCTAAACCAGGTCTAAACCAGGACTAAACCAGAACTGAACCAGGACTGAACCAGATCTAAACCAGGACTAAACCAGGTCTATACCAGAACTGAACCAGGACTAAACCAGGTCTAAACCAGGTCTAAACCCTAAACCAGGACTAAACCAGGACTAAACCAGAACTGAACCAGGACTGAACCAGGTCTAAACCAGGAATAAACCAAGACTAAACCAGGACTGAACCAGAATTGAACCAGGTCTAAACCAGGACTGAACCAGGACTGAACCAGGTCTAAACCAGGAATAACCCAAGACTAAACCAGGACTTAACCAGAATTGAACCAGGTCTAAACCAGGTCTAAACCAGAACTGAACCAGGACTAAACCAGGACTAAACCAAGACTAAACCAGGACCAAACCAGGACTAATCCTGGACTAGAACTTGGAATCTAGGACCGCCCCTGAGAGAACCCCGAGTGCGCTCGGGCGTCAGCTGCGTTTATCTCGGTGGAGCGCGGACTTCTGCGTCGGTCCTTTCGCTCAGGATCACGGTCTACGCGGGCGCACCTCCGGCGTTTCACCACTGCTGATATCGCGGTGATTTTAGCAAATTTGTATGAAGAAAAACGAAAAACCCACCATTTCAGTCCAGGTTAAAAAGCATTTTGACGCGCGTTACTGACATTTGTACCAAGTAAGGGTGTTTTCACACCGACAGTATTTGGTGCGCACCAAACGGTCCATTCGGTTCGTTTGCGTTGGTGTGAAAGCGTCAATCGGACTCGGACCCGAACCAAATCAAGCGGACCGAGACCGCAAAAATGAGGTGGTCTCGGTTCGCTTGAATCCGCACCAAATGACCAACTTTGGTGCGGTTCCTCTGGTGTGAACGCGAACCCGGGTCCAAACCATAGACAGTATGGACAAACGGACTATTCGAAATGCATCATGGGAGAAACACGTCTCCTCTGCCTGAAATGACGCTGTACGGCTCCAGCGCAGTAACAGATTGTTGTCCAGACGCAGACGCGATTCATTTTCGAATCATTTTACCAACAATGGCCAATACAGAGAATGTAACACACGAAGATCAGAGCAAGTATCAGTGTGCGAACGTGTGGCTCCAGAGTGAGTCAAAATTGGGGGTGCGTACCCCTGTTCGGGACCTACACGCACAGAGACGACCCGGTGTTCCCCGTGATCACACAGCAACCAACATTTGTTATTTTAGGCTTTAATTAACCAAATAATTTTATGGCAATAGGCAATCGCCCATTCAATTGATACAACTTTAAAAAGTCCCTGCTTTTAGCCTAGTGTGAGAAATACAGTCGGACTAGATCCAAACCAGAGTCCCGAACCAGCGGGAGCAGCTCTGGTTCAGGCCGGGCTCAGAGGAGCTGGAGCGGGGAGCCTCGACCTGAGGAAGCGCTTTCCCCGGGAAGAACCAAATGCGCGGAGGACGGACGCTCAGAACAACATATAACAAACCAAACTGGACTCACGCTTCTGTCCGGATGCTGCACCACCTCGGAACCAGCTGCGATTCTTGAGCGCGGAGGACAGGAGCAGCGCGCCCGGACCTGTAGTCCACAGCGCATTCTCGCTTTCCCGCACAGAACCAACGCGCAGACGACGGAACGTACCCGCTCAGACCCAGTCATTGCGCACTGGTCTTTCTCGCCACTGTTTGGAACCAGCACATGGAGGATGAAGCCTCCGGACCATCTGACCAACGAGCTTGTAACAGAAGACCAAGGACCAGACCCCAGCCCCGTCCTGAGGAGCTGCGCGCTACTGTGAGCGCTGCTGCTGTTACCCGAACTCTGGGCTGATGCGGTGAGTTTGTACAAAGTTCTACATGTTGCTGTTTTATGAGTTCATGGTGATAATTTGAGATGAGGACGGCCCGTGGTATTAACAGGAACATCGGTGTTGATAACTGGAGTATCGCTGTTTTACCGGGGAAACAGAGACACGTGAATGAACCAGTTTTGGTTCGTTTGCCGGTGTGAACGCGGACCACACTGGAGTGTGTTTGCTACATAATAACAATTTTATTGCCTGGTGCGGACCAAATAATCGAACTAGCGGTGTGAAAACGACCTAAAATAATACGCGCGTGGAGCAGCACGTCCTGTGCCTGTAGAGCGTCAAAAAATAGGATCCATCCTATTTTAGAGGCTCTACACGAGCGTAGGCGTCAAAATACACAAAGAGCATGTATCTGTTGTTGTATTTGTGTATTTACCATCAGCACATTGTGCTCCCTGGGCAGTTGTGTATCAAGTGAAAGAGCCCAGATCCACATAGACTGTTAATTAGTGCTTTGAAATTTACTTTTGAAATCCTTGCGTTTGCCGTGGTCAGACTGTACAGAAGGTAAATACAAGCAGCTAAACGCGCCCAGTCAAGTTTGATTGACTTCTGATTGAGAGACACAAGAGCCCGTACGTTCCGTTAAAGCTGCCGGTGGAGTCGCCTTCGCGTTGACACGCGGCTGTGGTTTCGCGAGGTGAAGTGCGAGCAGATCGTCACTCGTCAGGTGAAAACAAATTCCGACGTTTAACTGAACCCCAACAGTGACGTACGTCGTTCATCACACATAATTTGAACAAATTCACGTTCAAGTTCTTGATTTACAAAAGTGTTGCGTTCAGTTCAAAGTTCACTGAAAAATGAACGTGTTCAATGAACGCGTTCTTTTGAACGCGTTCATGCACAACACTGACTACTACTATACTGCTGTGAATATTAAGCACAGGAGGAACCAGAAGTCTGCCTCCTGACGACACTGTGGTAGAATCAGCCATCTTTATTTTAAGCACAATTAACACATTTCAAATGATTGTTACTGGATGTTCCAAAAATATAGAGATGTGTATGTGGTGTCATGATCACCCCTCTTACTGAATCATAGTGACTCATTTATTTGACAAATATATTTTAATGTATTATTTTACCATAATATATTAACACACCATATATAACCATATACATCGTAACAGCAAATCCTACAGTCAATTGGTAACCTCTATATATATATATATATATATATATATATATATATATATATATATATATATATATATATATATATATATATATATATATATATGTAAACAGGTAAACAGAGACTCCACGTTTGAAGAAACATGAATCACTGCCGATGTTGACAGTTCACAGCTGTCTGACAGACGCACACTGTTGTTGTGCCCCCGGGCAAGACATTTACCCTCTGTACTTACTGCATTCGGTACCTTGGCAAGACCTGGAGATCTAGCCTTTATACGGCAACGGTAAATGATTCTCATCTAGTTCTATATCATGTGTAACTCACAGACCTAATGATCGAATTCTTTGTAGACACTTGCTGGGTAGTTATACAGTTGTAACATTACCTTCATGGAGAGGGTTCGTCCAAAGCTCGCATCAGGCAGCTTTTGCGCAAGTCCTTCAGAAAGTGGAGTATCCAGTCAGCGCGCTCGAGCTCTAACTCAAAGTGTGCTTCTCACGAGGCTCAACTTGGTCAGCGCGAGGCCACGGTGCGGGACGTAGCGTTGTAAACGCGTGGAGCCGTCCACAGAAGCCACAGAAGCCCTCGGCAGCGTAGAGAATGCGGGAGCGGGCGGTACCGCAACAGCAGTGCGCGCTCCAGAGCTGTGCGCGTCCCCGTGCCTTTTGCACCTGAACAAACATCAGCGCTCCACTCTCCGCAGCGGGCCACAGGAATGTTCCCCAAGAGGGAGCCGATTCAGAGCCACGCACCGGTCTGAGCGCACCTCCAGCTCAACACTCCAACAGCGTGACCGCAGCTCAAATGTTCTGGCGAGGGCACAGACTGCAGGCAGGCCATGTCTGATTCATTATTTTATGCTTTGCGTGGAATGTTCCCCAGTATATGGTATTAAACTCTTGGACGTCGATTTGACTCTGTTAGGCTACGTTAGCCAGACCAATGAACACTCTCTAGGCTGAGCAATAACATCTCTATGGAAACAGCAGGCGACTGACCACCGACTAGAAAGTTACAGTGTACGTTTAAGAGTGTAACCTGCTGAGGAAACGAAGTGCCTAGGTGTTAATAAGCAGTAGTACGTACTTAAAAGGCATTTATTAATTGCAAAACACGTTTACATTCTTTGCTAGTGTTCTGCCATTAAGGAGGAACCATGTGTTAATAGCTGCCTTGTTATAATAAGTATTTTTTTTTTCTAAATCCAAACCTAATTCACAGGCTTACATATCTGAAAGGGAATTTGGCACACACCATCTGATAGTACACTGTTTATTCAGAGGAAGATATAATGTCCTTATGTCTGCTATACAGTTATAATCTATGAGAACTGTGAATCATTCTGTTATAATTTGGAAATTTTTAATCACAGTGTAGAATATATAATATAAAATGAAATGAAACAAGTCTGAGAAAAGTGTGGTGTAGGGATGCACTGACACAGCCTTTTGTGTTCCGATAGCAATCTCAATAATTCGGCTTTAAATATGTGCTGATGCCTTGTATCAACCCATACTAAGGCAGAGACTGAAAACATCATCGATTTCCTATAAACACAAATGACGTATGGTAAAACATGTGTTTTGTAACTGGTATTCATAGTTATAAGTAACAACAAAACTACTAAAAATACAACTTATATTATGTGATGTTTTGAGCCAACATTCACCAGAAAATATTCTTATACCAGTTTAAAGACCAAAATGGGATTCTAACTGAACCAATATCTTGGAAGAGATTTCTGATCCATGCAAAAAATGTCAATATCAGCCACCTGTATCATATTGGTGCATCCCTACTGTGGTGCCCAATGGGAGCTGATGTCGCTGTAAACATCATCACAACAAAGCACCTTGTAGCTCTGGGCACCTCCTCTGCATAGCTGCATATCACACTAGTGAGGAGAGGATTCTTTCATTTGTACCGAAATGACTACACATTGGACATGTCACACCGATTAAGGAAATAGTTGGAAAAGAGTGTCCCGAGGGTAGATCGGAGCAATGGTGTCTTGAATACAGCAATGGTGTCTTTGAAAACAAAGGTTACTCAAACATGCCTGAATCACTCTTAATACAACTTTGATTGGGTAAATGAGAAGGGAACCAATTATAACACTGTTGAAAGTTCTTAAAAGTAGATTTTACAGAATTAATATGAAATGAATACTAAAATGTGAGAGACTTCTTTATAGCTTGATTTGTGCATAACCCAGGCCTCATGCACATGACTGCTCCTCCTGCTGCCTGCAGGGGGCATACACGGACAGATCAGAGGTCAGGCTCACATGTAGCTCCCATGGGAATTGATTGACAGGTCTATGCTGTGAGCTAGGGTGCAATCTGCTCTGTCGAATCATCAGCCGCACATCCTCATCGTCCAAGAGCCGCACCAGCTCCCCATCCTTGTCCCTGTAGTTTAGAGCGATGCTCTCCTCCTGGAAAACTGTCCTACACACAACAGCACTGTTAGACACTGTATAACACTGTCCTAAACCCACACTGTGCTACACTGTCTTATACTGTCCTACTCTGTCCTACAGACCACCACAGTGTTCTCTAGACCACCACATAGTCCTATAGACTTCCACACTCTCCTACACTGTTCTACAGACCACCACACTCTCCTACACTGTTCTACAGACCACCACACTCTCCTACACTGTTCTACAGACCACCACACTCTCCTACACTGTTCTACAGACCACCACACTCTCCTACACTGTACTAACTGTAGCTGTCAGATTTAGATTTGTTGACCTGGTTTATATCTCTGTAATTACTAGGCCTATCCACATGAAATTGCATAATGTTCAACGTCTTGTCTTCTCTACCAGTATAAATAAACAAAAATGAAATTATTTGTTCACAATTCAGAAAGTATTGACATTTAATGTGATAAGATTACTATGTCAAGTTTGTGGAGCCATTCCAAACATTTAATGATATGATTCAATATCATAATGGTGGATGGTGGATCATAAGTTTGGATGTTTCTTTTCTAGAGTTTTATAGAATGCAAACATAGTGTTGTCATGGTGCAGGCCAGTGTAAAGGGGACCTGTGTGAATGTGCCCACCTCATACGGGACAGCAGGTCCTTGAAGGCGGGCTGAATCCCCAGGGCCTCCTGCACACATACATCTCTGTGGGGCACATGACACACGTCATAGTCGAGTTAATGTACAGTCAGTTACACAGCACTATCTCCGCTACCTCATGTGTCTGATCTGTCACTCTGAAGCCAGTGCAAATTATGTCAAAGAAATGATTTGAACATACCTTTAAACAATTAAATTAATAATAATAATTTTTAAAGAGTTTCTTTACAATTTTATTTACCTTGTGTGTGTGTGTGTGTGTGTGTGTCTACTACTTTCTACCTTTTAGATACAAAAGACCTGAAACTGCTGGGATACACATGACATTACAACATTCTAGACCAATCATATTTAATACAAATAGGGTAACTCAAATGAATATTGTCAAAATGCAAATTGTTCTAGTATTCAGTGAGTTTTTAGGTTTAGTCATTAATAAAAATTATCAGGTTCAACATTTGTGACTTTTCCTTTTGGATATTTCATGTCAAAGTACAATGTAATCAATAGGGAAAACTGTCTTCTGCCCCCATGTGGGAATAAGGCATGATCACATTCCACAATCTGAAAACCACTCATATATGGGCAAAATGTATGGAATTCTGTGAATGAAGTTAAATAAAGTTAGTAAACTTACTGAAATCTACTAAGATTTCTCTGTATTTCTCTATACACATTTGACTGGGAGTGCATTGTGTAATTTGTGAGCTACTGTTGGAATGGGATTTCTAAATGTGTGTGTTTAACATGGTAGTGTCAAATGTGCCCTGACACGATCCTGGCATCACTTGTCTTTCAGCGTTTGTCCTTTCTGTACACAGTCTGTAGAAATAGAGTGTGTTTAGGTTCTGTTTTTTGTAACAGCAGCCTGCAGGGGATCTGCATATGGAAATGAGCCCAATTTGGCATATTTTCATTTGCCAATGAATATGCACTGTTCCTCCTTTTCTTAAATAAATAAAAACATCACTACTTCTACTTGAGTAATATTATTGTATTATGAGTAATATGACTCAAGTTTAGTTTACTCTTCACACACTATAAGTCTTCGTGATAAAATAGTTCAAGTTATAGATAATAATAATTAAATCACTTCACTTCACTGCAAGATACACAGTAAAAATCAGGTACAAAAAACTCCAGAACTGACCGGGCTTCTGTGGCATCAGGTCGGAGGAGAAAACAGCGTAGACAGCTGTAGGCATGGCCTCCCTCACTGTCGCAGTCGGACTGGGGGAGTGGCTTGATGATCTGGACAAAGGATTGTGGGAAGATCCCGGTTTGCTCGTTCACTGTGCCCTGCTCAGACAAAACATAGTAAACTTGACATCATTGCATTGCCTCAAGTTACAGGTCAGAAGCCACAATATGTAAACTGAATGATCCTATATTACTCAAAAAATGTAAAACAAGCTAAAAGAATAGTAAAATACATTATGTATAATTTTATAAAACAGAATCCCTCTACCTGTCATCAACACAGAACATTCTATCCCATGCTTAACCAGGATGTAAAATTAAAAAGTAAAAAAAATAAATAAATATATATACATATACATATATGTATATATATATATGTGTGTGTGTGTGTGTGTATGTATATATATATATATATATATATATATATATATATATATATATATATATTCATTTATTTTATTTTTATTTTTTTTTACTTTTTAATCTTAGTATTCATCTAAAATGACATAAAAAGAAACGAGGCCACTGACTTCCTTACTAGAAAATGACGGTGCCCAATGGGAGTTGACGTTTCTGTAAACGTCATCCCAACAGAGCTGTGAAGTTGTTCGTATCCCAGATGGATAGCTGCAGACACTCACACAAGTAGTGGATTTTTTTTTTTTTTTTTTTTTTTGCATTTAATTATTATCATTAAAATTGAGAGTCATGGAGGATTTTCCTGATTTACTCTCAATTAGTTATTTTGAATAAATTAAACCCTAGGACTTTTCACCCTTGCTGAGCTGTTCAGGTCTGAATGGGGAGGCTCTGTATCTGTGTCTCACCTCCAGCCAGTCTGCATTGACCTGGCGCAGCAGGAACACCAGCTGGCCCCTGCGCAGGTTCAGTTCAGCCTTTCCACTGCCCCGGAAGTCAAACAGCACCTGCAGCACAGAGCCGACACACACACAGAGGACACACACAGGAGACACACACAGGAGACACACACAGAGGACACACACAGGAGACACACACAGGAGACACACACAGAGGACACACACAGGAGACACACACAGGGGACACACACAGGAGACACACACAGAAGACACACACAGAGAACACACACAGAAGACACACACAGGGGACACACACAGAAGACACACACAGAGAACACACACAGAAGACACACACAGGGGACACACACAGAAGACACACACAGAGAACACACACAGAAGACACACACAGAGAACACACACAGAAGACACACACAGGGGACACACACAGAAGACACACACAGAGAACACACACAGAGGACACACACAGGGGACACATAAAGGAGACACAGATTTTGGTCTAATATTAGGCTGAACAATTACACAATGGGGCTTTTAAAAAATCTGTGCACGTTTTTGTCTGCTATATAGTTATAATTTATGATTCATATGGATCATTATTTTATATATTTATATTTTATTTATATATTTTATTAATATTACTTACATTTTTAAATAATAATATGAATCTAAAATGACTTAAAAAGACATAAGATATTTGACCTGAAAAAGGCACAGGGAAAAAAATACACTGTGCATGATGCTGTGAACCATACTGCCAGCATTTATTCATTATTGGATGGCACAGTGTCTGTATTACAGTGTCTGTATTATCTGGAGCATCCCTGGGCACCTGCAAGGAAAAGCTTTTTAAAGTTATACCTGCATAATGCAGTATCTTTTCATTATGCTTAGCATTATTTCAATTATATGTGTGAAACTTTTCAGGCAGAGTAATGATATCTAAAGAAGCTGGCAGAAACTGCACTATAAATTTTACATATTGGTTAACATAGTTCTTGGATTAGGTTATTACTGCCCTCTGCTGGCAACAGTGGGGATGGTGCCAGTTCAGAAGAGTAATGTTTGAGGCGGATAGGAAAGATCATGGTCAAAGGTCCTGTACATCCTGTACATTTCAGCCGTATACCTAGACGTCTGCTGTAACATGTCTTTCTTGCTGTTGGTCATTATTGTATCGCGTGCGTGTGCGTGTGCGCGTGTGCGTGTGCGTCCATGTGTATGTGTTTTACCTCAGCTCTTGGGGAAGATAACAGGTCCATCTTCTCTTTGACCGTTTTCCTACAATTATTATACACAGAGTGGAGGTTACACTATACCTGTGTATCCACACACACGTAAAATCTGGAAAGTAATTTGACAATTTTCCAGACAAAGAAAATGCATAGATAATAAAGAAAAAATGGCAATTATCCTGAAAAATAATTGAAGATAATTTCTTTAAACATGGCTGCTTTAAGTGGCTTTCAACACAAGTGTGTTGTGTTTTTGTGTTATTTTTACATACTGCTGAATTTTATTTATGTTTGAAATATTTAACTTTTTTAAAGTAACTTTGAAACTATTATTTGTTAAGATTGTGTCCCACAAAGTTGCCGTACTAATCTCATTGCTTAAAGGGCCGATATGCTGTTTTGGGTTTTTTTTGGTCTGTTCTAATGTTTCCTCATCACAAATGTACCTTGAGTTGTTTTTGTTCCATTCATACATGTTTTAAGACACGAATCATGCGTCTACATATTTCTCTCAAACAGAAAACACTTTGGAAGTACAGGAAGTGCTCCATATGTTTTTAAACTCCATAAACCTTTACAAGAACTAGAATATTTGGATAAGTTCAGTCCTAGAATGGTCGGTCTCTATTGAACTGAAGGTTAAATGTTGCTGTTAACCTGAAAACTACCAGTTCATAACATCACAAGGTGAAACAAAGTATTTTGACAGACTAATAAGAAAGGGTTAACTGTTACTCAAACATGTGAATGAAACAAAACACAACTCTAGATATGTTTTTAATGTGGTAACAACAATCTTTTAATATAGGACCTTTAAAATCCATTTAACTGACATCACATCTTTAGAGTTTAATAGCAACATTTTCTTTCCTTTTTTATTTATCCTGGGAGAAAATGTGTTGTGCCAGTTTTTGTTTCATGTCGACAGGCCCCAGTAATTAGAGATGTTTACCATAAACCATGCAGTAAACCTGTATGCGGTGGAGTGGGACTTACACTTTGCGTGTTGGTGGGCGCAGTCTCCGGAGGGCCCGTGGCTGCTGCATACGGTCCACTTCACTTTGGTAGAAGAACATGCGCAGTGCCTCATCCAACAACAGCCACTGAAGAGCCAGCAACTTCTGCTCAGATTTACATAGGGTTGTCAAAATATCAAAAATTTGACTAGACTATACTCATCTGAGCAGATATTGATACTATAAATGTCACATTCACAAGACATAAATGAATCTTTTCTGAATAGCGGAATGATTTTGAATATCAGAACAAGTATAAGAGCACATACACTAATATACGCCCATGGACCACTATGGAACCTACCTGGACCACTGAGGGATTACACACATATAAGACACATGGGAATTGAAAATCTAATGCTGAAAATCACATTCTATTGTCTAAATAAAGAATAAATTGTCTAAAAATACTGAAATTAAGTTAGAAATTTAAATGCTAGTATATAGCTACTCTGTTTTCTCTTATGGATTAATAAATTTTATCTAAGTTTATCTAACACTATCCAACACTATCAATGTAAACACACCTACCTTCATGTACACGTTGAGTTCAGAAATCCTGCTTTCTGCAATATCTCTCTTGTTTCCAATATATATTTTACCTAAAGACAAATCCAAAAGGTTAGCTTCATTGCTTATGAGTTGCAAAGTACCATTTCAAATTGGCTTGAAATAATAGTCAAAAATAAGAAGAAGATAGCAGTAGTAGTGAAAGATGGATAGTTTGAACTTTTATTCCTGCTCAATTAGTCTTTTCTCTGTCTGCGATATTGTCCCTTGACACAGAAACTACTGCCTGGAATTGTGTCATGTAACTGTTTTCTTATATTTTTCCAGTCTCTGCTAACATTTGTTTTTCTGTTGTTCTTGAAATTGCAGTATCAAGTGTATGTATGTGGAATAGTGCCAGGCAGTTGGTTTCCCATGAATCTTTGGAACAATAACAATTTGGAATGGGCCTGATAGTGTGAAACTCACCCTGTCAGTAGCTTCTGAATTAATTACCTCAGAAGATGCTATGTAAAATAGATATAATATATTTTACAGTTTTATTTATTTAGTTATTATTTAGCAGCTTTAACTATGTACCATTTATTTTGACAAGAATAAATTAATAGCATGTAACAGGCCCTTTGCCATCTCCATCTTGTAATTTTATCCCTAAAGGGGCTTGCTGGCAATTAGGACTCCCAGTGTGCGTGAAGTGGGAGAGTGGGTGTGGTATGGAAATGTTCATGTGAGGTGGTAAAAGGTTTGTTTGAGATAAACTGTGCCTTGCTTGGATGATCCGTGAGAGTTCATGTATCAACACAGGGCATAGAAAACAAGCCTGCATTTAACAGGACTGTTCCAGATTTAAAGTAGTCAACATAAATGCTCTTGATATCATGCACTGTACATAGTAAAAGCTGCTATAAAATGCTTTGAAATATAATCTGTTCGTTTTACACAGAGTGGGTGGTATGTTGTCTGACAATGGAGGAATGGCACTGTCAGGCAAGGTGGTCTGGCAGATTGGACATGACCTGGCAGATTGGACATGACCTGGTAGAGTGGGCATGACCTGCAGTTTATGTGTGAATTTAAAGAGTAAGAGAGGCCTGGAGAGGTGGGTGTGGTCAGGCAGACAGGGTGTTACCAGGCTGAGTGGGTGTGGTCTGACAGTGGGCATATGCAGTGGCATACAGTGGGTGTGGCCTGTCAGTGTAGGTGTGGCCTGTCAGTGTAGGTGTGGCCTGTCAGACTGGTTGAGTCACCTGGCAGAGTGGGCAGGCTCCATGTGCCTGGGGCTGGACTCTCTGAACCTTCTGCAGAGTACTTGGTCTCCAGGATCTGGTGAAGTTGCAAGAACTCCCTGTACCTCCTGTAAATCAGATACTTGCTGCCTCCTTTAGTTTTCACCTCAGTCACAAACACCTGGAAAGGATAATTTCTCAAATTATTTGCATGGATTTTCATGTTCACTTATACTTGTTTCTATGCTACTGAGTATAAAGGAGTTTTGCGTTGAAAGCACAGTAGCTAGTAACAGTACAGAAGCAGTAATTATTTGAATTTGCTTTTTAAGAGGGTGTATTTTATTTTAAAAAGTTTCATTCTGGTGTGTGGTTGCGGGTTTTAATTATACAGTGCTAAAGACACTTGAATTCTGTTTACTTTCACTGGTTGTGGATAACAATTTTGGTGAAGGATTAAGAAATATTGATTAAGGATTTGGACAACAGCTGGACCTTTTGATACATGAGTGTCCATCTGATTGCTCCGCAGAACAGCAGGTGGTGGCTTTCCTCCAGTCCAGGGGCATCTCCCTTAATGTGGAGGATGTTGAGGCATGGCATTAAGACAAGCCAGCATTCGAAAGGCACTGTGGCTTGACGACAGCTAAAAGGCATGGCTTTTTACATGAACGACCATTTAAAGCAGAGGAACGCAGATATCGCCAGGAGGGCCATTTCAGGAAGTCGAAGTATGTATGCTAACTTTTCTTCCATTAGAGAATACTTACTGTAATTTTTCAGGCTGAATGGACTCTGACAATGATGGCTATGAACTCTAGCCTGATTCATCAGGTTTCACTTCGTAGAAACCGTCTGACCTTGCAGCATTAGATTTTGTTCGCTTGACGGTAGGCAGGTATTTTTTTTTATTTAACCAATCGCTGTTGTTTGGTCATGTCATACGTAATGCGCCGTTAATGGGGCTAACTGGTATATTAAGCTTTTCCCAAATTCTGTAGGAAGAAGGACAATAATATCTTTCCCCTTGATAAAATTCACCAAACATTCTCTTTATTCCGGCTTTAAATCCTCAATCTTAGTAATCATTGCCAACACAGAATGTATGGCTCATCGCTGATTGGCTTGTGCCCGAACTCGCACTTCCGGGGTTTTTGCGAACCGTCTAGTGTATTCCGATTCCTGACCTAGTCGCTGGAGAGAAATTAAATTGAGTGGAGGCACTAGGTGGCGCCTGCCTGGCTAAATGAACTCAACTATGCTAACAGAACTAACAAAGTAGGTGGGGAGAAGCTATATATTGACCTTTATTTAATCAGTATAGTCCCTCTGAGATTACGACTCATTTTCAGGGAATATACATACATTCACAAGGATGTGAAGTTTAAAGTGATTGATAATATGTCAATTGTTACTGATGAAATCTTAGTGATGAGTATCATCTGAAATCTGCAACTTTCCACATTCATCTCTCCCCCTTCAGAGTGCTATATCATATCACAATCCACATGTATCTCACTAATGTAAAGCACTGCACATTACATCAGGTTTATTAAGAATCTTACAGTTACAGTATTTTAAACTACAGTTAATTCTTGACTGTTGAAAGGACAAGCCATGGGATTCAGTTTGTGAAGCCAATACCAAACAAATTAATAATTTATTTTTAACAGAAAACATCTCAGAGTTATTATAGGCTCTTGCCCTCCATTTGAAGTTATGACATCTAATTGTAGTACTTACATAATAGTCAATGAAGCCCTTTTTCTCTTCAATGTCAGCTATGGTGGCCGTGACAGGAACATCATCAGGCAGCTGCTCAAAGTCACTAAAAACCACAAAGTTTAAAACATCAAACTAGGGTTGCCAAAAGTATAAAAAATCAGCTACTGATGATGGATACTAAAACTATTTGAGCAGGTATTGATAATAAAAAAAGTCACATTCACAGGACAGCAATGAATCTTTCTTGAGCTGTATCAGAACAAGAGTATAAGAGCACATAAACTAGCATACGCCCACGGACCACTACGGAACCTACATGGATGGGTTTACGCAGAGATAAGGCAATGTGCGAATAGAAAAGACAGTACTAGCAGTTAATATTGAAAATTACATTTGATTGTCTAAAAAAATTCTTTAAATGATCATTGTGGTATCAGAATCGATAGTATCAAGTCTATCCCTTGAGTAATTAATTAGAATTAAAAATTTTGGTGTCGTAACAACACAAGTTAAAAAATAACCAAAGACGTGAGTTCGAGTCTACAGCTCAGAGACAGATTTGGAGTGGACATACCTTTCATCTCGTAGCTGCTGGGGCACAGACATGTTGTTGCTAGCACTGAAGTGATGTCAGGAACAGGAAGTTTGACCGTTGCAGCAGAGGAAGTAACATTTCCCCAAACAGCTGGCTGCGCAATCTCAACGTTTGAGGAGGGACTTTGGAGCTTGTAGAAGTCAAAAGTTGGGAAAAGATGTTCTCGGCAAGATTATATTTACTTAAAAATAATACCACTGAGTTTATTTGCATTCAACATATAGAAACATTATGTAGGCTGTGCTCTTAGTTTTAAAAAGGGTATTATAATAATTGAACGTGGGTTACCATTACCATAACATTCAAAAATATAGAGGACACATGCTCATTTTTCCTCATTCTCTAGTCTATGCAGTATATGTGAGGTCCATGTGAGGTCCTTTTTGATTGGACAGTCATCTTGAGAACCAAAACATCAAATTTTAACATAAATAACTTGCCATCATGTCCAGTATCTTTGTATCCCTTCTATGGGGTATTAATTGCTAGCACATAACATATTTGGATCACCATTTTTAGTGTTTTGAAAATGAGATATGATCAACATAAAGCCTTTGTTACTTGTAGAGTCATAATGGGAAGAGTAACTAGTAAGTAAGTGTATGGTCACTGTTAAATATATCACTCAAGTAAGAAAAAAGTAAGGTGTTTGAAAACACCTGTGAGAAGTACAACCTCATGAAAATGCAGCACGTTAACATTAGAATGATCATAGAAATTAGAATGTTAACTTCCTGTTTAAAAATACAGAACTGATTCAGTCTGAGCCACCCTCGCTGTGTGAAGGAGAAATAGGTCTTTCCATTGACTGCTGTCTGACTGTACAATGAACAGTGGCCTGTACACGTGTCATCCACTGGTAGTAATCATGTGCATCACGTCAGTTTATCGCCTATTAATTTATTTAATATGCCCATATGCACACTGATAATGTTGATAACTCATGATAGTTATAGCCCTTTATTGTACAAATATTATAATACACTGAAGTCACTTTACCTGCCATTCATTCTTGTGCATATGCTACACTGTTCATAACCACCTACTGAGCAAAGTTTTGTAGCCTTACAGCTTTACTCTGCTGGTGCAGTGTTGTGTTCTTTTTGTCTAATGTTAATCTTTATAGAACCATTTATATTGATTTTGATTGCACGTTTCTGTTTTCCTGCTGTTTTCAGGCTTTACATTGCAACACTGTAATGTCCCCATTCTGCCTACATAGTTTGGCAGGAAGACAACTCAACTCAGGAATGTCAAAGAGGAAGTGGTCTAGATTTAGACTTCCTTTTTGTTCCAATATTTCTGGTGTAAATGCTTCTGGGATCATTGTCCACGTAAAAACAGAAGCCACAGATAGCAATTGTCAATACAACACAAAAGCTTGATAAACAATGTTGTTGTTGTTTTTTGTTTTTTTTTTCATTTTGACTCTTGTGTCTGTCTCTTCATGTATTGCTAGGTTTCAGATGACATCACAACATTCTATAGGCCAATAACTAATACAGATGGAGGCAAGTAAAATGTTTATACTTGAAATCCAGATTTATTCCCATCTAAGAATATGAAATCATCACATTTTATAATCTGAAAACCATCAATTCATGTATGATTTATTTCAACAATAGAAATTGGTTCACCCTAAAATCAGAGTAGTACTGACTGTAAGGAGAAGAGAACATTGTCTAATGTCTTCAGAGGAAGATCTGCCACATTTGAGGGAATGAACACCAGGGACTGTTGGATTGTGTGAAATTAACTCTTTGTTTTTCTCATACCCATGGAGACGGTGTAAAAGTAAGTAATAGTAGTAGTAGTAGTAGCAGCTGTGGTCGTTTGAGATGTTACAGGCTTTTTACACCATGTGTTTTTCACTATATGTGGCACCAAATGTAGCAGGAGAACTTCCAGAGAAAACACTTTCAGGAAATGGACCATTTTGTCATCAAATGAAACACCACAACAGAGTAAGAGTGAGGCCTTTCCTGTTGTGTTCATCTGGTTCCCTCTGAACACTGCTGTAATAATGCAGGGCACAGAGGAGAGACACTTTTGGCTCTTCCGCAGGATCTGCTGACCCTCCCTGACCAGTCCTCCTTTTAAACTGCACTGACACCTTTGACTGAGACAGAAAGGCCACTGAGACATGAAGTGGAAATGTTAAAGCAACTGCAACAGTTTGCTGCAGCAAAACTTGAATTTTCTTCAGGATCAATAAAGTGTCTGTGTCTGTCTAAATCCTCTTTTTTCCCTCTACTATACTCTGATTGTCTAGACTTACTTAGATTTAGACAAGGAAAATGATTTGGACACAGTAGCTCACAAATCACAGTATAATATAAAAACAAAGAACATATAAATGTTAATAATAAATTCAAAATAAATAGCAAAAGTGGCAGAGACTAGGGTCAATAAAGCATAATTATGTACACGTATATGTACAAGTACAAATAAAATATAGAGATGAAGTAATATATCTGTATCACCTGGAGGATCCACAGGTAGCTTTAATAATAAAGTAAGCCAGGCAGTGTGTGGGTCTAACAGCCATACGGCAGCTTTTATTTACAAATAAAGACGTTAAGGTTGTTTTATGTGGAACAGGTGAGGATGCCACTGCAGAGGTGAGGCTCCACCCTAAAGCTGGGCTAAAGGAGACATGCTTATATAATGCAAAGAACCATTACCACAACTGAAAACACCCAATTACAAGTGCCACCACCACCACTAATAACTATAAATAAGGTCACCCTCTAAAGGGAGTTCCCTCCACACCCAGCTACCTCCAGCCTACACCCACTGCAGAGCTACTATAGTAATTCAAACTAAAAACTCAAAAACTCAAAAAAAAAAAATAAAAAAGGCAACCAGCACTGAGCCTGTGAACACAGTGCCATTAACATAAAATACATCAATCAAAATTAAACAATAAGATAAAAGTTAAAAGCATGCCTCCAATCTGGACTGTTAAGACCCTTAAAATTATATTTACAAAAATTACAACTTTTTAAGTTTTTTTTAACAAGATTAAAATATACAAAGAAACATATTTAGCTCACCAGAAATAACCCCGTGTTAGGCCTACTCAGGAAGAGGAAATGAGTTGGTTCACCTCTGACATTTATAAGAGACCACATGATCAGCTACCTTGCCACATATTTTAGATGTATACAAGTGGTCGTAAGGAGAAGCAGTGCAAAGATAAAATAATAACTGACATGATGTAGGGTTCTCTGTTACAGGAGGGTGAGTTGTTGTACAGTTGTAGGGAGTATGGTATGAATGGTATGGCATGAGTATGGTATGAATGTAGTCTTGCTCCACTGTTTGAGTGGAGCTGCAGGAGCCTGTTGGAGAATGAGCTCCTCTGTCCCTCTTTAGTTTGGTGCAGTGAATGAGAAGGAGTGCTCATGATGGAGAGCAATTTGTCCAGTGTCCTCCTGTCCATGACTGTGACAAATGTCTCCAGCTCATAGCCAGTCATGTGACCAGTTTACGGATCAGATTGTCCATTTTATTGGTGTTGCTCTGCCAGCAGACCACAGCAAAGTACAGAGCACTGGCCACCACAAAGAGTAAACAAAAATGGAAACAGAAGTGTACCCTGGGGACCTCCCCAGCTGCACGTACTGAGGTTTTCCTGAGAAGCAGTTAGCAAACCAGGAGAAAATGGAGGAGCTGACAACCATCCTAAGCAGCTTCTTGCTCATCAGGAAGGACTGGACTGCATCAAAGGCACTGAGAAATTGAAAAACAATTGCCTCACAGAGCTCTTAACACTATCCAAGTGTGAGTGTGGCCATTGCAGAAGATAAATGACCGCATCATCCACACTAACATGGGAATTATATGCAATTTGTAGAGGATCAGGGGAGGAGGCCACCAGGGGTCTGAGGTGAACCAGTCCCTCAGACACTTTTATGTCATGAGCTACTTGTCTGAAGTCATTAAGTCCAAATGGAATAGGCTTCTTGGACACAAATCTTGGCCATACCAGCTTGTCAAAGCCTAATCCCGTCAGATCTCTGAAGCTAAGCAGGCTGGGCTTGGGTAGTACTTGGATGGGAGACCGCTAGGAATTCCAGGTGCCACAGGGGGGCGCCAATGGCAAAAAAACAAACTGTTATTATGTCCTTAGGCAAGACACTTCACCCACATTGCCTAGTGTGAAAGTGGTGTGTGTGTGAGTGATGGTGGTGGTCGGAGGGGCCGATGGCGCAGATTGGCAGCCTCACTTCCATCAGTCTGCCCCAGGGCAGCTTTGGCTACAACAGTAGTTTACCACCAGTGTGGAGTGACTGAATAATGATCTGTAAAGCGCTTTGGGTATCTTGAAAGGTGCTATATAAATGCAATCAATCAAACACAATGCTGGAACAATTCAGAAGGTCTCCCATAACCCCAGTATCCTTTCAAACTTCAGACTCAAGATGAAGAGTGCAGGATTCCAGCAAGCTGTGCAGCACATGTCTCCAGCACACAGGCATTGACTTGGGCCAAGAGACTTGCTTTGGTGAACTTTCTTCAACTGCCATTTCACCTGAGCAGGTGACAAAGACATTGGGCTGGTTTCTCCTTGGGGATGAGGGTAGGTGAGGAGAGGTGATGGGCTGATGAACGGTCATCAAGTCGTCTGTGGTGAGGTGCCAAGGGATGAAAACATCTTTCTTGGGAGTATGGAAGATGTAGAAATGGGGGTGCCAAGGGGTGAAAAAGTATTAAAATGCACATTGAGTGAATTTGACTTGTCTGGGCTATTGTCCTGCTGCTTTGTTTTGGTGTTAAAACCAGTGATGGCCGTCATCCACTTCCTGTCTGTGGTTCTGCTGGACCTTGAGCTGGACCTTCAGCTGGACCCTCAGCTGTCACTGCATCCTCTCCACTGTGTGGCCATATCAGCTTGTCAAAGCCTCATCCTGTCAGATCTCTGAAGCTAAGCAAGGCTGGGTCTGGCTAGTATTTAGCTGGGAAGCCAAAGTCTCAAAAGCTCAATAAAATGGATTGAACCTGACATTGTTTGCCATACTTTTTATTAGTGTTTTTTTTTTTTTTTTTTATTATTATTATTATTATTTTATTTTTTATTTATTTTTTGCGATATTTCTGGAAGAGCAGACCCTCGGAAGAGCAGACCCTCTTGGTCCTTAGGGTCACAGTTAACAAAAAGAAAACACAAATAAAAAGTATAGCAGAGGATGTCAGGTTCAACCCATTTTTGAGACTTTGGCTCCCCAACTATTAGGAAGTTAGGATGGGAGACGGCTGGGAAAATAAGGTGACACGGTGGCGCCAGTCACAGTGCCTTGCCTAAGGAGAGTTATTTAGGGTAAACAATTTGTGGGGCTAGCTAGATTTATTTTCCACCTGAGAAAAAATGTTTTTTACAAGATGATGTGGTTACCAAAATATGTTATGGAGCTTAACATGTGGTAACCTCTAAATAAATTGCATTTATAGGCTCTAGTAAAACAGTACAAACCACAAAGAAAAAAAATTAAAAATAAATAAATAAGAGACCACTTACATTTTTTCTCTATATGTATAACAGCCATTCCATTCCAGCGTCTGTTGAATTCCAATACAAGCAAACCTTATTCTGCTTAATGAGGTACTGATTAGGTGAAGAAAAGTATTTAAAAAAAAACTGCTGTGTTCATCACTATCCTCTTGCAATATGACCAGCTGGATGGCAAAAACAGTGCCAGCAGTACATCAAAAATAATTGGAATCAAATAATAACTACTGACTATGCCAAAGGAGTTGAAAAGAAAAGTTTTGAGTGAGGAAAAGAAAGGTTCAGTTCTGGCTTTAGTGGCAGAGGGATACAGTGAGCGTCAGGTTGCTTCCATCCTTAAATTTTTTTAAGATGGCGAATCGTGACAACAAGGTCAAGCAACAAGACACTGAGGACAACAAAGCTACAGCGGGGGGCAGAAACGACTCTCCACTGACAGGGATGACAGTCAACTCACTGGAATGTCACTCAGAAACCATAGGATGACATCAAATGACCTACAAAAAGAATGGCAAATGGCAGCTGGGGTGAAGTGCACAGCAAGAATGGTTCAAAACAGGCTCCTAGGGACAGGGCTCAAGTCATGTAAAACTAGAAAAAAGCCCTTCATCAATGAGAAGCAAAGAAGAGCCAGGCTGAGGTTTGCAAAAGACCATAAGGACTGGAGTAAGGTCATCTTCGCTGATGAATCCTATTTTCAGCGTTGCCCAACACCTGGTCATCTAATGGTTAGACGGAGACCTGAGAGGCTTACAAGCCACAGTGTCTTGCACATACTGTGAAATTTGGCAGAGGATTGGTGATGATCAGGGGGTGCTTCAGCAAGGCTGGAATTGGACAGATTCGTCTTTGCAAAGGACGCATGAATCAAGCCACATACAAAGTTATCTTGAAGAAAACTTGTTTCCTTCTGCTCTGACAATGTTTCCCAACTCTGAGAATTTTTTATTTATTTTTTTCCAGCAGGACAATGCTCCATGGCACACAGCTAGGTCAATCAAGATGTGGATGAAGAACCACCAGATCAGGATCCTGTTAGATCAAGACCCTGTCATGGCCAGCCCAATCTCCAGACCTGAACCCCATTGAAAATCTCTGGAATGTGATCAAGAGGAAGATGGATGATCACAAGCCATCAAACAAAACCGAGCTACTTGAATTCTTGCGCCAGGAGTGGAATAAAGTCACCCAAGAACAATTTGAAAGACTGGTGGAGAGGATGCCAAGACACATGAAAGCTGTGATTAAAAATCAGGGTTATTCCACCAAATATTGATTTCTGAACTCTTCCTAAGTTAAAACATTAGTATTGTGTTGTTTTAAAGTGAATATGATTTTCTTTTCTTCACATTACTTGAGGTCTGAAAACATTGCATCTTTTTTGTTATTTTGACCATTTGTCATTTTCTGCAAATAAATGCACTAAATGACAGTATTTTTATTTGGAATTTGGTGGAAATGTCAGTAATTTATGGAATGAAACAAAAAATTTCATTTTGCACAAACATATACCTAGTAGTAAAATCACAGAAACTAATAATTTTGCAGTGGTCTCTTATTTTTGTTTTTCAGAGCTTTATATTCAGACATAGACACCCAAAAATGTGAAATCTCTATAAAGGAAATTTGATCATGGGAGGTCGTTGATTTCAGCAAGCCCTCCCTTTTCCTATCCCCATGGAACCTCCTCTTTCCTCCTCCCTCCTCTAAGTTGCCCAACAGAAAAGCCATTACAAGAATGTCTGTGTGCCTCTGCACTGTGTCATTCTATTTTCTCTCTTTTTAGTTTTTGTACCAAGGACATTACTTTCCAGTCAAGTTCTGAGCACCTGGAAGGTGTACTTCAATGTCTATCGACGAGGGTATTGTTCGCTACCCATGCACAGGTAATTCTTTTTGAAAACAAGAAAGAAAGACTTGACTTTTGACTGGTAGTATGTGGAATTATTTGTTTTGAGCGCTCTGTAGAATGAATAAATGACATTACAAGTGTATACTTGTTTGCAGAGCAACTGGTTCCATATATGAGAGAATGGCCTGAGACAGAGAGGGCACGCCACTTGGCGCATGGGGCTGCACTGAAGTGGGCATCTGGGATGTTCTGTCAGCCAGCAAATTTAGAGTGTCTTGGTCAGTACAAAAAGCGGGAGAGTCAGCGAACAGCCTTCATATACACCAGACTTAAGGTAATAAGAATTTATATCTTACTCATAATCACTACTCATCATATAATCAATCAATAAATGTTCTCGAGGGGCACATCACCGCAAATAAAGTTTCTTAACATGCCATAGCAAAATCATTGAAGAAATATTTAAAGAAACATATTTTTTTATGTCTAAGTTTATTTCTTTTTTCTTTTTTTCAGTCCATGGTAGACGCGTATATAGATGGAGTTGGCTGGGGTGTTGAGAAGCTCCATGAGGCCAGGGCTGAACTCCATAAGGGCACACGTCTTCTAAGGAAAGCAGAACAGAACAGCAGCTGGAATACGGATGTGACACAGTCTTTAGAGAAGCTCAGGGAGGTGTCTGTGAGGCACTCTCAGCTCTTAGCAGCTGTTGACAATCTTCCCCGCCTGTACTCAGGTTTGTGCCACTGACTTAGAAATACTGGTTTAGTATGTTATAATGGTAGCCTCAGCCACTGGCTCAGTTACTCAAGAAATTTCAAACATTCAGTGCAATTTAGAATTTTTGAAAAAAAGTGCAAAATATAACATTTTTTCTTAGAGAGGGAGTATTATGCAAACATTTTTTTTAAATTTTACCTTTGTGCCATGTTATAATGTTGTTCTCTCAACAAAAACACATTTAGCCATATCAAGTGGTGTAAACGGCTCATTAGTGTTTGCTAACCCTGGTTACACTATCAAACACTGCTACTACAAAGAACTGAAATTATTATTATTATTTTCCATAAAATAATAGGAAAATTTTACAATCCACAGTTCTTGCTTCACTAGACTGATGATTATAGTGATTATTGTCAAAACCTCCACAGTCACGTCTCTAATTGAGTTTATTTTCCATCATTACAATGGTAGATAACAGCAGAGTGGCCAGTCTAATAGTACCATACACTCATAAATTAACTAAAACTAAAAGTTTTGTATAGTACAAAATATACCTTGGTGCAGCAATAACTGTGGACTTTAGGTATACAGTAGCTTTAGTCTTACACTACATCTGTAAATGGTATACAAATGAGGGTAATCTGTAAATGTCTTGGAAAATTATTTAAGGCAAAGTGTGGGAACCCTGAAATTGCAGGTCATTCTCTTAAAAAGAATCTTTAGTCAGACTTGTGTACTTTTTGTTGTGATAGTGCATAGTATGGTATTGGAGACAGAGCGTCTGGTGGAGTCTCGCAGGCTTTTGGAGGCTCATGCCCGTTTGATGGAGCTGGAGCGCTGGCAGGATGACATCTTATGGCAGCTCCATGGGAAAGTCACGAATGCTGAGGACAAAGAGCTCGTAGCTAAATACTTCTGCGGAGTAGGGCAGCTTGTGGATGCCTTAGGTGGGTTGGTCTACTCTTTTATGCTTAACCCAGACTGCTGGGCTGCCTTTGAGCATACGTGTTGCCTAGGGCACCATCTGGTGGAGTGGGCACCAAATTGCATTAATACAAAATAGATGTAAAAATAAATACATATGATGAAATGCAATTGTTCCATAAGCTTTAATCTCCTTAACTATAATTTTTTATCTCTCAAAAAGCATAAAAAAATAATTGAAAAAAAAAAGTGGTTTACTTCCAACTGTGCCATGTGCAAAGTGTCATTGTAATGACTAATCGAATCAGAAGCAGCCTAAAATTATAATCAACAGACAGACAAAAAATGTCTTAAAGAAAGAGAAAATCACTTCAGTTTGTTAAAAACAATCCTGAGGGGACCCCAGACTCCCCTCCTTTTATATCACTGCAAGTGGGGGCAGGGGGCACCATCAGACATCTTGCCTAGGGCAAAAAATCTAAGTGACTTACATTGCTGAAAATATTTTAGGGATGCTGAAACACCCCTAAAAAATGTCTAGACTCACCCCTGCATATTTGCATAATGGTTCAGGCCCTCAGCTCTCATTACTGCCGCTTGCTCTGCTTCTGTACTGACTCTTATGTTAGTTCAGTGTAAAATGCATACAAATTAAATGGGAAAAGATTTGGTTGTTCTAAAGAAAATGAAATTCGTTTTAACCATTCACATTAAGGAAATGTTCAAAAGAGGGTTAGTTGTTCACAAACATCATGTCACTAACATGACATAACATGTCATAATTTTGTTTTTTTAACTTTTGTATTCTATCCGTTTGTACTCTTATTTGTGTCATCACTCTTTCTTGAGTAACTTCTTCTCTGCTTTGTACTTTGTACATCCATCCATTTTCTTATCTTTATCAGTTCCCACTGAAATGAGTAAACACTTCTGTTTGATGCAGGTAGAGAGATATGGGCTGTGATTAGCAGCGCTCTCACTTTAGCCTTGCAGAACCCTACTCCATTTGTGTCAGCAGTGAGAATAGTGGAGCGAGAGGAGGCCTTGGACCAGGCCCTGCTAAAGGAGAGGGGAAGGATGGGTGGCCGCCCACTACCCCCTGGCCGACCACGCTGTTGGAGAGCCTGTTTCTTTGAGGTATATGTTTATTTTTTCTCTTTTAGTTCATCATGTTGTCATCTCTGAAAACTCATACAACATGAGCAGATATAATTTCACATCAATGAAATGGTATGACATGGTAATAAAGATGGAATAAAGAGCCTATCCCACAAGATATTCTACTACTAATGCACACAAAAAGCACATGACTCCAACACTCCGGTCCCTATAAATGTTTTTAACCCACAAGAAAACAACATACAATTAAGGAGATAGGATTCCAACATAGTGCAAACACTAAAGTCTCATTTATGCTCTATGTTCTAGATGCATACGGACACACATGGAAGCTTCTGTCTGTCCTTTGTGTATTACTGTCTTTAATCTGGTCTGTCTCCTCAAAACATGTGGAATCTTCGCAGCAGAGTGATACATGTGCTAACTGCTGGAGACAGTAGTGAGCATGGCTCGATAGAGGAAGCTAAACGTTTTTAAGAAGTGACTAGCTGAAACTATCCAATCCAATCCACTTCATATCTATAGCACATTTCATAAACAAAAACTTTGCTGCACATAGAGAAATTAAAACAAAAATTTAATTGAATACAATAAAGACATAATAGCAAACAAAATAATAAAAGACGAAAGTCACACAACTCACACAGTGTTAAAAAGACAGAGAGTAAAACTGGGTCTTAAGACGAGATTTAAAACACTCCACTGTGGGGCTATTTGGACGTGGGTGGCACTAGTCCAGACATGACAAAGTCATATTTAATTTTGGTTAAAAGACCAAGATGATAAAAACTGAATTTCACGATTGCGTTTACCTTTTTTTCAAACTGCCAGACTAATGCTATAGTTGCACTTCCAGCTAACTCAATTTTTTATCGTTAGAATGTGTTAAATAAATCTTAGATTAAATTCTAATAGAGCTTCAGACAGTTAGCATCGCACCCCCAGGGAATTTTGAAATGAAATTACATCAGTTGGAAAGGATCAATAGATGGAAAGAAAAAGTTGCCACCAAGTCACATCCTTCAGAGTTACAATGCAGTCAGCATATTACATATATCCTATTCTGTGTAAACACAGAACTGACACCATCCTTTCCTGCTCCATGACCTGTAGGACACACTATGTTATTCTCCATTGAAAACATTTGAGTCTTTCCATTACCTCCTCAGAACAAAATGTAGCAGAGCTGCCAGGGTCCAGTGTGAATTTGCCACACTAGATTTTGCAAAATTAGGCAGACAGGGACACGGTGGCGAAAGCATTTATTTCTACTAGCCCTACTGTCCGCCTCAAATATCTGATAGGTTCCTGGCTCTCATTGGGGCTCCAAACCTCTGGTACCCATTCTGTTAATATAAAGCAGCACATGATGCACAGTCAACATAAGGGTCCAGCACAAAAACACCCAAAACCCTTCTCAACCGATCTTTTTTCCTTTTTATTAAACTCTGGGCAGTTCACTGGTTTGCTGACCTCTCTACCATGCAACTCCCTTCCTCAGACTCAAACCAAAACAAAGAAAACAATAGTACTAATCAGAGTATGTTTATAGTAGTTAGGGCCAATATTTGCAAAGGACACCATATTGGCAGATGTGAATTAGCAGCACTGAATAGCAACAAGTCCACATTTGGAGTAGGTGTTGTCCATGGTGCTGAACTAACACTTAGCACAGTTGCTCTCTCACATGTTTAGATGGCTACACTGTAACAAATTATTGTAGTTTCTACAGTAATTTTTTACAACTGCTTTTTGCTTTCACAAATTACATCTTAACTGTAGTTTGCAATGCATTGTGGGACAAAAAATCATTACAGTTAGTAAGAACTTTTTCTACAACAGCCTTTTGTAAATTACAGTTAGTCTGTGCTTTACTGTAGATGGGAGGATATTACATGTAAATGTTGTATTTTCAAATGTTTCTTCACCACACACACTCAGTTAAGAAGAGCAGAGACAAAGAGAAGCTCATCAGGATAATGCACTGGTCCATTCACTCCACAAAAAAGTAAGTAACCTGTTTTTTTTTTTTTGTTTGTTTGTTTGTTTGTTTGTTTCTACTTATAATTTTTTCATACTTCAAATTGTTTTCTGTGTCTGTGTAAGTAGCCCAGCACTTAGACGTAAACGTAGCCTATTAAACATATCAGAACCGCGCTGTTATCTGTGCTCACGCATGCGCATTTAGACCGGTATAGGCTCGTTTACATGAGCAGGTGAGGGAAATGCCCGTTTTCATCGAGCCCGGTGCCGCTCATCTCCGAGCTGCTGTTGCGCGCGAGGCACCGCGGTGTCGGTGATTCGAGCTGAGCCGGACGGACCCGGGTCCAGACGAGGCTGCGCCGCGGTAACACTCCGACACATGAACTCTCCGGTAGAGCGGGTGTGGCGCACACGAGAGGCCGCGGTAATCCGAGGAGAGCGCGGAATGATACGACAGTGTGCGGGGAACAACACAGACACCGGTGTTCCGGATGGTCTGGCGATCAGCGTAAGTGGTAAAGGCGGGGCCATATCTGGAAGCTGAGTGGACACGCCCACTACATCTGGATCTGGAAGCAGAAGATGTAGTCTACCTGGTGTGTTCACAGCAAGATGTGTAATATTTCACTCTGGGTGATTGTGTCAAAATGATCCAATGAGTCAGTCCCTATTTTGGTAGCAAATTGTGTGAACTAGATCATTGTACACATTATAGAAGCCTGTACATGCCTACACAAACACAACATTCATGACAGTGAAGACACGGACAGCATTTTGTGCTTGACCATGTTTATTTGTTACACGACATAGCGATATGGCACCTGTTATAGGAGCGTCTGGAACAGTGACCAGATCAAGTGGTTGAGCGCGTTCATGCGCTGCAGTAAAGAGCAACGTTTGTTATTTCAAACACCAGGTATGGATGGAAACATGTGCGGGATACATTTGATTATTTTTCAATGGGGAAATAATACGCCACGATAAAAAAGGTTTAACGCGACAATACAGCTCTGACAGTTTTGTGTCTCTATGGGAGTGAATGGAAGCGAGAGGATGTGGCCCCGCCTTTACCAGTTAAGCTGATCGCCAGACAATCCGGAACACCGGCCGGCCGTCGTAAAACTCCGGGAGAACGGGAGTTTGTGTCGCACAAACCCCAAAATATCGCAAAATATCGCACTGGAGGCAGTGGTTATCAGAGGTGAGTGCAGGCTGAGCCACTGTTTTACATGTGAACAGTAAATGCGGGCATTGGCCCGGTACAAGCCCTGTAGAACGTGTGAAGAGGTATGTGCAAAGCGGGGCCGCGGAGAACACCGGAGCAGGCAGGAGGAGCAGATGCAGAAGCAGTGCAGACCTGATGTGTTTCAAAGGAATCTATGTCAGACTATTTTTTATTATGTTTAGGCCTGTTTACTGTGAGTGTGAACTACAAAAGCATATTGCCAGTTCAGGCTTCACACTTCTATGTTTAATACAAATGTGAATGTGTTTGTTCAGGTAAAGTTGTCAGTGCAGTCGGCCTTCACCAGGTGGTGCACTGAAGAGAGAAGACTAGGTCCAGGTCTTATCTCACCATGAGCTGAGCTGGCTCATCAACACGGATATAAAAGTCCACTGCGCACTGGATTAAAGTAAAGGTAAGCTTGTGATTAAATTAAGTTAAATTAAATTAGAATTGGTCAAACATGTCAAAAAATATGGTACACAGGAGACCACTAACGGCGCGTGATGGAATAGATGTGCGAACCACGAGATCCCAATATTCTTGTCACAATACTTAATAATCTGCCCAATACATTCAATGTAGTACGTGCGTGGCATCTGGAAGAGGAACCTTGTGTTTTGACTGCTTGTTTACATTTTTTTTCTGTAAAATGCCTCCCAAATCCGCATAAGCTTAGGTCAGCATCTCGGAAGCTAGCAAAGCAACTTCACAAGCTGCTATCTCCGAAGAAACCACTACTAGCACTGTTGCTATTGATGCTAGCTCACTTCAGGCTTTTCGTGACATTGTTAAAGAAGTGATTAAAGAAGAAAATGCCGGGTTGCGGGAGGAAATTAACCGAACGGTTGCGCCCATTAATAAGGTTCTGGAGGAATGCAGTGACAAGCTAAGCAAATACTGGAAAGACCTGTCCAATCTGGACATTCATATGGTAGCCATGGAAACAAGGTACGACGAGTTAAGCAACAAGTACGAAAAACTAGTACTAAAGTTGGACGACCTGGAGAACAGGGGAAGAAGATGCAACCTCTGCATTTTGGGTGTACCTGAGGGCCTGGAACAGGGGAACCCAACCAGGTTCGTTTTCCGAGTTGTTGCATGAAGTGTTGGGAGGTCCAAGCGGTTTGGAGAAGCCCCCGGTCCTGGACAGGGCTCACCGGGTATCAGCTCAATTACCCCCGGGAGGAGGAAGACCACGGCCATTCATCGTTCATGTCCATTATTATCAGGAGAAGGAGTGGATCCAACGCCTCGCCAGAGATAAAGGTCGGCTGGAAGTTTGCGGAAAACAGATCCTAATTTTTCCGGACTTTAGCGCTGAACTAAACCAACGCCGTGCAGCTTTTAATGAAGTAAAAGGGTTGCTTCGGGGGAGAGAGGGAGTGCATTATGGTCATCTCTACCCTACCTGTCTTCATGTCACCTGTGACGGGGAAACGAAGGTATTTGACACTCCCAATAGCGTGAAAGACTTCATTGGCTCCAGGTTCGGGAGAGATGAGTAGTTAAAATACACACTATGAGAATGTATACGGGCAACTGACTTGTACTGACTTACTTGTACTGATTTACTGTTTAAGAAAAGAAGTTCATTTGTATTTTCTTTGTGTGTTTAGATAAATAATCCATTTATATATTGCTAATATATATATATTTTTTCTTCCTTTGAGGTATATTATTAGTGCACTGGACGGAATACATCCTGTTCTAACAAACGTTGTGAGAGGTGCGGTTGTTTTTGCCCCCGGGTGGCCAGGTGCAGAGGAGACTGGTCTATTTCGGATTCATTTTATAATATGTGATTTGACTAAATACAGCTTGTGTGCTAAGAGTTAAACATATCTATATATGTTTAAAGTGAACTTACTAATTGTTAAAAAAAAAAAAAAAAAGGAAGAAAGAAATTTGCAGATTATTCTTTTTCCCTTCTTAACAATGGGACTGTGGTTATAACTAGGTGAATTGGAATCTCGATGGAAGTGAGAAAGCTTCAGGTATTTTTTGTGTTCGTTGATTGGGGACAGCACTGGGGAATTTGGGGACGGGGATGGGGGGGGTGTATGTTTATTTATCTTTTTTTTGCTTTTTGTTTTGCAATGTTACAGACAGCAGTTAACTCCCTTTTTGTACTTCCAGTGACAGAACTTTTGAATTTTTACAACTTCGGACACTACCATGGTGACCCCTTCTGATAACGCGTCTTCCATTGTAGGTAATGGCTGCCATGTTAATTTCATAAGTTGGAATGTGAAGGGATTGAATCACCCAATTAAATGCAATAAGGTACTTACACATCTTCTCCACATTAAAGTGAATATAGCATTTTTGCAAGAAACACACCTCAAAAACTTACAGCAATTAAAATTAAGGAGAAGTTGGGTAGGGCAAGTTTTTCATTCAAAATTTTATGCAAAGGCAAGAGGCACAGCTATTCTTATAAATAAAAATACTCCTTTTATGCCTTCTGATACAATAGCTGATCCCAATGGTCGTTATATAATTGTAACTGGCACATTGTTCAACATTCATCTTATTCTGGCAAATGTATATGCTCCTAACTGGGATGACCACAGATTTTTTTTTAACAATTTCCTTCACTCTCTACCTCAAGTTAACACCCACCACTTGATACTCGCTGGCGATATGAATACAGTTGTGGACCCAATCTTGGACCGTTCCTCAACTAAACATTTCTCAACCGCTAAATCAACACAAACATTGCAATCTTACTTGCATATGTATGGGGTAGTAGATGTCTGGAGGTATCTCAATCCTTCTTCTAAGCACTACTCTTTTTTTTTTTTGCCAGTACATCAAACATACTCGCGCATAGACTATTTTTTTATGGATACAATTTTTTGTTCCCATGTTAAAACTTGCAGGTATGAGAGCATAGTTATATCTGATCATAGCCCACTGATTTTAGAATTAAGCTTTCCAAATGAACCTTTTATATATTCATGGAGACTTAACCCTTTATTGTTATCAGACAAGCTATTTGTGCAACATATTCCTAAACAAATTGATTTCTTCCTAGAAGCAAATTTGACCCCTGATGTAACCTCTAGCACAATTTGGGAAAGTTTATATCATATTGTTCCTACAAAAAGCAGAAACAAAACTGTAGCTTAATATCTCAACTGCATAATCAATATTCAGTGGCTCCTACTCCAGAATTGTATAGACAGCGAATAGTCTTGCAAAATTAATTCAATTTGATTTCGACCAAACAAGCTGAGCGAATGATTCATATATCTAGAGGGCAGTGGTTTGAGCATGGGGAGAAGGCGTCTAAACTTTTAGTGCATCAGCTACATAAATCAGAATCCGCACAGTTGATACCTGCGATCAGGTCCCGGGATGGGAAGGTTTCTACAAGCCCTAAAATCATAAATGAGAGCTTTCAGTTATTTTATTCTGATCTCTATCAGTCTGAATCTTTAAATTCACCACATTTATTTGACGACTTTTTTGAGAACTTACCCATTCCTACCTTGGAGCCTGTCTAAGATCAAATGGAAGAGTTAATATCTGTGGAGGAGGTTAAACTGGCAACTGCTGCAATGCAGAGCGGAAAGTCACCGGGACCAGATGGCTTCCCAGTTGAATTTTTTAAAACTTTCAAAGAAAGCCTTTCTCCTCTATTAAGGGATATGTATACAGAATCTTTTATTTCAAAATCCCTTCCTCTTACGCTCCGACAAGCAACTATTTCTTTATTATTGAAACTGAATAAAGATCCACTTGAATGCTCTTCATATTGACCAATATCGTTATTGAATGTGGATTTTAAGATCTTATCTAAATTGTTAGCTCTCTGTCTTGAAAAGCATTTGCCCTCCTTGATATCACCAGATCAAACTGGATTTGTTAAGGGTAGACATAGTTTTTTTTAAAATTTGCACAGGTTTTTCAATATATTGCATACACCGTCAACAGTAACTCCAGAAGTGGCTTTATCTCTTGATGCTGAGAAGGGATTTGACCAGGTGGAGTGGGATTATCTGTTTTACGTTCTTAGAAAATTTGGCTTTGGACCTAAATTTATTTCCTGGGTGCAACTACTCTATTCTTCACCTATGGCATGTGTCAGGACAAACTCTCTATATTACACCTTTTTCCCACTCCATCGCGGTACGAGACAGGGTTGTCTCTTATCCCCTCTTCTTTTTGATCTGTCTATTGAGCCCCTTGCACAATTAAATTGCATACAGATAATAGGGTCAAGGGTGTTTATAGAGCAGGCCAGGAACATAAACTCCTTGTACGTGGATGATCTGTTGTTGTACGTATCTGATCCTTTGGGCTCTTTTCCCCATGCTCTTACCATTTTTTATGATTTTGGCAGTATCTCTGGCTATAAATTAAATATGCATAAAAGTGAATTGCTTAGAATTAGCTCAAAAGCAAAGAATATTTTGTTTACAAATTTTAACTTTAAAGTGAAATCAGATCGGCCTCACCTCCACGCACAGTTTGGGCTCTGGAACCCAACTCCTTGAGAGGGGCTGGACTCTCCATTTCTCTGGCGTTGGCCGCGGGGAGCGGCGGCTGGCTGGTGTGGGCCTGCTCATTGCCCCACAGCTCAGCCGCTGTGTGTTGGAGTTCACCCCGGTGAACGAGAGGGTCCCTGCGCCTTCGGGTCGAGGACAGGTCTCTTACTGTGGCGTCGGCCTATGGGCCGAACAGCAGTGCTGAGTACCCAGCCTTCTTGGAGTCCTTGGGAGGGGGACTTCAACGCCCATGTGGGCATCGACAGTGACACTTGGAGAGGGGTGATTGGGAGGAACAGCCTCCCCGATCTGAACCTAAGCGGTGTTTTGTTATTGGACTTCTGTGCTAGTCACAGTTTGTCCATAACAAACACCATGTTCGAGCACAAGGGTGTCCATAAGTGCATGTGGCACCAGGACACCCTAGGCCGGAGGTCGATGATCGACTTTGTAGTTGTGTCATCTGACCTCCGGCCGTGTGTCTTGGACACTCGGGTGAAGAGAGGGGCTGAGCTATCAACTGATCACCACCTGGTTGTGAGTTGGGTTCGCTGGCAGAGGAGGAAGCCAGAAAGACCTGGCCCAGGCGTGTAGTGAGGGTCTGTTGGGAACATCTAGCGGAGCCCTCTGTCAGAGAGACTTTCAACTCGCACCTCCAGGAGGACTTCTCCCGGATTCCGGGGGAGGCTGGAGATATGGAGTCCGAATGGGCTCTGTTCTTGGCCTCAATTGTCAATGCGGCCGCTCGTGGCTGTGGCCGTAAGGTCTGTGGTGCCTGTCGCGGCGGCAATCCCCGAACCCGGTGGTGGACACCGGAAGTGGTTGGCAAGCTCCTTGGTGGCAAGCTCCTTGGTGGCAAGCTCCTTGGTGGCAAGCTCCTTGGTGGCAAGCTCCTTGGTGGCAAGACTCCGGGGGTGGATGAGATCTGTCCTGAGTACCTTAAGTCTCTGGATGTTGCGGGGCTGTCTTGGCTGACACGCCTCTTCAACATCGCGTGGCGGTCGGGGACAGTACCTCTTGACTGGCAAACCGGGGTGGTGGTCCCTCTGTATAAGAAGGGGGACCGGAGGGTGTGTTCCAATTACAAGGGAATCACACTTCTCAGCCTTCCCGGTAAGGTCTATGCCAGGGTACTGGAGAGGAGAATCCGGCCGATAGTCAAACCTCAGATCCAGGAGGAGCAGTGTGGTTTTTGTCCTTTCCGTGGAACACTGGACCAGCTCTATACTCTCAATCAGGTGCTCGAGGGTTCGTGGGAGTTTGCCCAACCAGTCCACATGTGCTTTGTGGACTTGGAGAAGGCATTTAACCGTGTCCCTCGTGGTGTCCTGTGGGGGGTGCTCTGGGAGTATGGGGTCCGGGGCCCTTTGCTAAGGGCTGTCCGGTCCCTGTATGACCGGAGCAGGAGCTGTGTTCGCATTGCCGGCAGTAAGTCAGACCTGTTCCCGGTGCATGTTGGACTCCGCCAGTGCTGCCCTTTGTCACCGGTTCTGTTCATTGTATTTATGGACAGAATTTCTAGGCGCAGTCAGGGGCCGGAGGGGGGCCAGTTTGGGGACCACAGGATTTCATCTCTGCTGTTTACGGACGATGTTGTCCTGTTGGCTTCATCGAACCAGGACCTGCAGTGTGCACTGGGGCAGTTTACAGCCGAGTGTGAAGCGGCTGGGATGAAGATCAGCTCTTCTAAGTTCGAGGCCATGGTTCTTGACCGGAAAAAGGTGGCTTGCCCTCTCCGGGAGGCTGGAGAGTCCCTGCCTCAAGTGGAGGAGTTCAAGTATCTCGGGGTCTTGTTCACGAGTGAGGGGAGGACGGAACGTGAGATTGACAGGCAGATCGGTGCAGCGTCTGCAGTGATGCGGTCACTGTATGGGACCGTTGTGGTGAAGAGGGAGCTGAGTCGAAAGGCGAAGCTCTCGATTTACCGGTCAGTCTTCGTTCCTACTCTCACCTATGGTCACGAGCTGTGGGTAATTACCGAAAGGACGAAATCGTGGATACAAGCACTCGAAATGAGTTTCCTCCGCAGGGTGGCTGGGCGCTCCCTTAGAGATAGGATGAGGAGCTCAGTCACACGGGAGGAGCTCGGAGTAGAGCCGCTGCTCCTCCACGTCGAGAGGAGCCAGTTGAAGTGGCTTGGGCATCTGTTCCGGATGCCTCCTGGGTGCCTCCCTCAGGAGGTGTTCCGGGCATGTCCCACCGGGAGGAGGCCCCGGGGAAGACCCAGAACACGCTGGAGGGACTATGTCTCTCGGCTGGCCTGGGAACGCCTCGGGGTCCCCCCGGAGGAGCTGGAGGACGTGTCTGGGGTGAAGGAAGTCTGGAAGTCCCTGCTTAGGCTGCTGCCCCCGTGACCCGGCCCCAGATAAGTGGATGAAAATGGATGGATGGATGGATGGTGAAATCAGATTATTTATCTTATTTAGGTATTAAGGTTACTCAGGTATATAACTCACTTTATGAAGAGAACTTTCTGTCACTACTTGAAAATACAAAAGCAGAGTTACAGAGATGGAATAATTTGCCACTCTCATTGATTGGTCATGTCAATTCTGTCAAAATGAATGTACTGCCGAGATACCGCTATCTTTTCCAATGCATCCCACTTTACATTCCCAAAAAATTATTTGTCGCTCTTGAAAAAATTATCTCAGAATTTATCTGGAATGGCAAATCTCCACAGATCCATAAGGAATTTATGCAAAGACCAAGGTCATTAGGTGGTCTTGCCTTTCAAAATGTTCAATGTTATTATTGGGCGGCAAACATACGCAACATGCTCTATTGGGCTAGTGATTCAACTTCTAAGATTTCTTCATGAGTCCATATTGAATCTGCTGCGTGTGGGAAGACCTCTCTACAAGCACTACTGAGTGCAGCACTTCCCTTAGAAATTCGTCAGTATAAAGGTAACTCTCTGCTCTACGACTCTTAGGATTTGGGTGCAATGTAGAAGGAAGTTTGGTTTACATACAATGTCATGTAAAGCTCCTTTGTGCTCAAATCACATGTTTCCACCATCAATGATTGATTCTGCTTTTAAGATCTGGAACATTAAGGGGTTACGAATGTTTAAAGATATGTTTGTTCATGGAGTTTTTGCATCATTCTTACAGCTGACTGAACTTTTTAATATTCCTCGGACACACTTTTTGCGTTATCTACAAATTCGACTTTTCGTAAGCAATAGATATCCATCCTTTCCTAACTTACCAGAGGCTACAATGTTAGATTACATTTTGGATATAAATATTCATAAAAAGGGGTCTATTAGAGTAATTTACAACATTTTGTTAAATTTACAATCTCCGTCTCTTGCTATTATAAAATCACATAGGGAAAAAGATCTAGAGTTGAACATATCTGATGACCTTTGGGGAGCTATCCTTTGTAGAGTGCACTCTTCCTCCATTTGTGCCAGGCATGGACTTCTTCAATTTAAAGTCTTTCATCGGTTCAACCTTTCTAAGGAAAAAATAGCAAAATTTTATCGCTGCAAGTCTGATACTGGCTCACTTATACATACTTTTTGGTCATGTCCTAATTTTAACAACTATTGGACTTCAGTGTTCCATATATTGTCTGAGGCATATAAAACAAGAATTCCCTCCAATGCTTTGACTGCGCTCTTTGGTGTGCTGCCCCCTGGTGTATTTAACACGGAGCATTGTTTTCGAGCTCTAGCCTTCGCTTCTTTGATAGCACGGTGCCTCATTCTCTTGAGGTGGAAGGAAGCAATCCCTCCCACACATGACCAATGGATAAATGATCTTATGACTTTTTTACACATTGAGAAGAAGAGATTTACCCTTGCAGGTTCGACCACAAAATTTGAAAAAACATGGCAGCCATTTTTGAAATACATGGACACATACAAAATGGGCACCATACCTTAGCGTGGTTGTGTATGTCTTTTTCTTAATCTGTCACTGTGTATTTATCTGTCTTTGTATTATCTGCTGTTTTTTCATTTGTTATTATTATAATATAATTTTTTTTTTTCTTTGAATTTAAGCTTTTATTATTATTACTATTACTATTGCTATTATTATTATTTTATATATTTATTTGTTCTATGTTTTTTTTTTCTTGGGGGTTATTTTTATTTGGGTTTTGGAAAAAAAAAAAAAGCATAAATATAATGTTTGATATATACTCTGTAATGTGCTACCGAAATTTATAAATAAAATTGTAAAAAAAAAAACAAAAAAACATGGAACACAATGTTCTGTGATTGCAGGTGTAATACTGAACACCATGTTTTATAAAAATATGTATTTGTTTAGGTGGACACTGGAGACTGACTGAACGTCACTTTTGTAGCTGTCTGCATTCTTCACTAGAAGTCTCCTGCACACTGGGTTTCAGTTAGGTGAGCCTGTCTTTAATGTAAAGGTTTAGTGATGTAAACCTTCTGTCATTATAGCATGAACTAGCACTATTATTTTTATAGCACTACTGTTTTCTGTGATATGTGCATTATAAAGGCATAAATATCATGTTATATTATAATACAAATAATAATAAAATGTCAGTCTGTTTGTTCAGGTGAAGTCGTAGTTTACTTTGATACTCTGAAGACTGAAGTACACCCCACTGTATCTGTGCTGCTTTCTTCACCTGCACACTGGACAGGTGAGCATGTCATTCATGTATAGACTTAGTGGTGGGATGTTGATATCATTCTAATAACATTAAGCACAATTGTTTTCTGTCACTCCTCTCTGTGCAAATATTAAAGGTGTCTACAGATCTAGAAGGAGCCTAAAGGACTTGAGTGCAGCTCACACACAGCTGAAGGATCCTCACATCTTTTCTCTTCAGGCTGTTTATTGACCTTATACATCAGTTCATGTCCAACAGTCAGTTTACATGTGTCTTTAGCTTTCTTAAGTATTTTGTTACATCATTTGTTTACATATTTTAGTGTGTATTTGTGTTAACTGTTTTTTTTTTTTTTTTTAAATAAATGTTTGAATGCATTTTAACTCTGAGTCTGTCTATTCTTATGGCAATATATTGATTAGCTGTATTTTTAAATTACAGAGAATTACTGGCAACAAAATTGCCAGGTAACACTTGTAAATATGATTTACAGTAATTTACTGAAACGGTAATACAAGGTTTTGCTGTAAGCTGTAGAGCAATTATTTACTGTAAACTTAAAGCCAATAAATAACTGTAAAGGATATCCCAACATAAACCTGTTAAAGTGTTCCCAGCTCTTACCTGTAAATGGGCCCGGTCAAGCAGAAATAAACAGCAAGGCCAAAAATTCAAGTTAATGCATCTAATATAAACATGTATTCAACAACAGATTTTTGGTTCTAAAGTTACATACGTTTTAAACAGACCATGTATGCAACATGGAACAAAAATTACTAAATCATTTATTTAAAATGATAAAAATTAGCTTGGAAGGACTGACATTTTATAGAAATAAAAGTATTCAGAAGAAAAAAGCTGACAAATTATGCAAAATCATGCACCTTCTACTTGTTTGCACAATTTTCCCTCTGTTACTTTTCCTCCGTTACCATGACCTTTCTTAATTAAAAATCTCATGACTCAAAAAGTAAGAGATTTTTCAACCTAATCTTGTACCATATGGTAAAAAACTATATGAAGCAAATATTCAAACCAGTTTGTTAAGGATATGTAAGTGAGAACCGCTAGTTATCATTGTTTGTATTTATTGCCCAAAAATGCTGCATATTTCATTCCCTCCGTTACCGACATATTTTTATTTTTTGTCAATAACTTGAAAGAATATCACAGGTTTAACTTTACCCTGTTGGAGTGTTAACTCTTTCCTACATTCCCTATACCTTACTTTTTTCAATAGTCCCTCTAGTTTCTGAATAAGAGCTATTTGAATGTAAAAAATCTACCCCCGTTTCCCTCTGTTACCGCTTGACCGGACCCAAATATGATTTACAGTTATTTACTGAAATAATACAATAAACACCTGCCGATTTGTTACAGTGTACTCACCTCAGGGGCAGTGGTTGTTATAACAAAGAATATAGAGAAATCAAAGGTGAAAGGCATTATCAAATATCATCAAAAAGGGTTGCTCTGATGTTTAAGTTTATTTTTGAAGATGAACCCGAGTTGATAACACTTTATAATAACTACGGCTTATTTAGCCTTAATAAAGCATGAACAAAGACTCAATTAATAATGAACAAAGATTTAATTAATCATAAGTCATGCTGAGTAACTACTTAATTACAACCTTAATTAGCACTTAACTTGCACTTAATTCACCTGTGCTGTAAATAGTTACTCATAATTATTTCATACTTAGTTACTCATGAATTAATCATTTGTGTGTGCATTTGTAAATACATATTTAAGTACAAATTTAAGCATTTATTAATGATTAGTAAGCTATGAGAGAATGATTTACTAATAATGCAATGCAATGCAATGTTAAGTCTTCATGAGAGCTTTTCTAAAGTGAAGACTAATTATGCTTTATTAAGCATTTGTTAAGCTTGGTCAAATTCCAGAGAAACAATAAACAAAAAATCTAATTTTCAGATTATTTAGGCATGTGATAATGATTAACAAATGTCTAAGTAACACCATTAATTGATAATTGTTTCAACCAGTAGTTAATACATTTTTTGTAAACTTTTCTAAAGGGAAGACTGTTTGGACTTAACTAAGGATTTGTTAAGGTACGAGACTAGCTATTTTCTAAGCCCGGAGTGTATTGAGCTGAGCCAATGACGTTCATTTTGTCTTCTTATCTACTTTAACTTCTTAGGTTCTTTTTAAAGACAATGCAGTAAAGTGTATTTACCTTGTTGACATGTTTCGGCTGCTAGCTGCAAGCCATCTTCAGAACTGACACCGGTGTTGGTGGTGACGTGTCGTATATCAGCTGTTGTTGCTTCCTGTAGGCGTGGTCAGCCTGAGCGACCTGCCAGGTCCATCAGGCTACACTATACACTTTACTGCATTGTCTTTAAAAAGAACCTAAGAAGTTAAAGTAGATAAGAAGACAAAATGAACATCATTGGCTTAATAAGAAGAAGATTTGGACAAAGAGATGTCAAAGCACTTTGCCATTTGGAGAGGCTGGAAAAGGCGCGCGCCCACTATAACAACCACCTACGCTTCAACCTCCGATGCAGAGACGAGAACATCACGCCAGCTAGTATTAACATCAAGACCCCGATCCCAACCCATAATGCAAAACAAATTGTTAATAAGGCCAAAAAAGCACTATTAAATGAAAGGATTCGCATCACTATCAATAAACAGAAAAACATTGAACGAGAACTAATGGACAAAAGCGAAAAATATGGACGGCTTTTCCCCATGGAAGAAGAGGCACAATGACAGGTTAGCGAACATTTAGAAAAAACATACGAATTAGAATTTAAAACAACTAAGGACCGCCACGTTAGGAAGTTAAAATTACTAATAGAGAAAAACACCGTAAAATCGAAACCTCACTAACAAAAAATAAAGATAAATGGGTATGCAATTTAACTCAGCGAAAAATCACAGAAACAGAAACAAACATACTTGCGCGAGGACTTAATTTTGCCACCACCCCAAACAAAATACCCATAGAAGAATACATATTAGCCACGGAACTAGCATGCCAAAAAATACCAAATCAGGGACAGAAAGCAGATTTACACAATACAGTGACAGGGATTCTAAAAACAGCCAAATTACCGAAAAGCAATATAACCAAGAAGGAAAGGAAAGCCATTAATCACATGAAAAAAGACAACACAATCATTATTTTACCTGCAAATAAAGGCAGGACAACAGTCATATTGGACACAAAAACATACGAACATAAATTGGAAGCACTACTCGCAGACACCGACACCTACGAAATCATCAGAAAGAATCCGACAGAAGAAAAGAAACGAGCCCTCAAAACGTTTCTCAAACCCCTATTAGAACAGAAAAATATCACCCGAGAAGCATACAACGATTTAATCCCTACAGCCAGCATCAGCCCGCGCATTTACGGAACCCCGAAAATTCACAAAACAGACACACCACTCCGCCCGATAGTCGATAGCATAGGTTCGGTAACATACAATTTATCCAAAGCCCTGGTCGAAATAATAAAACCACTCATCGGTCAAACTAAATTCCACTGCAAGAATGCGAAACAATTGGCACAGCAACTAAAAAACATTACAATAGCACCGGATGAAATACTCATATCACACAACATCATGTCACTCTTCACAAAAACACCCGTGGATGTCACACTACACATAGTACAAGAAAAATTTAAAAAGGACAGAACACTCAAAAAACACACAAATCTAACAGTTGATGACATTACACAATTATTACGTTTCGTGGCCAAATCTACATATTTTCAGTACAACAGCATAATTTACAGACAGAAAGAGGGGTTCGCAATGGGAGATCCACTATCAGCAATAATGAGCAGTTTTTTTATGGAGGACCTGGAACAGAAAGCATTCAACACCGCACCACCACAACGCCGTTTAACCTTTTGGAAACGCTACGTAGATGACATCCTGGAAAAAATACAGCAAGGACACACGCAAGAACTCACAGACCATCTCAACACACAAGACGACACAGGTAATATTCAGTTCACACACGAGGAGGAGAAAGACGGAGCCATATCTTTTCTGGACATTAAAATCCAACACATCGCAGACGGCAGCATCAAAATTACTGTATACCGGAAACCTACACACACTGACCAATATCTGCTCTGGACATCCCAACATCCCACTGCACACAAACTTTCAGTAGTAAGAACATTATTGGAACGGGCCACACTCATCACAGACCGACAGGGAGGAAGAGGAGAGACACATCATACAAACACTCAAACAATGTCAATATCCCAGCTGGGCCATAAACAAAGGCAGACAACAAGTTATCAATAAAACCAACAAACCCCGGAAAAAAACACAACAATCCAACACAGGGCAGCAAGACCACAAGAACATAGTCACAGTACCGTACATCAGAGGCATAACCGAACCCATCCAGAGAGCCACGAAAAAACACAACATAAGCACTGGAGTAAAATCATACATAAAACTCTGCCAACAACTCGTACACCCCAAGGACAAAATCCCACAAGAACAAAAATGCAACGCCATATACCAAATTCAATGCAAATCATGCAATAAATCACACACAGGGGAAACAGGCCGGGCATTTCACATCCGAAAAAAGGAACACCAAAAGGAATGCGAAAAGGAAACGTCAGAGAGACTCACCAGAACACAAAAAGACAAAGCAGAACAGGAAAGCCTAAAATCCGCCATATCAGACCACTGTAAAAGGAACAACCACATTATGGATTGGGACGGGGCTCGGGTCATTGGATCGGAAAACAACAAGTTCAAACGTTGGATCAAGGAGGCCATTGAAATCAGGAAACGAGGCACGGACAGCATTAACCGGGGACGACGGCGCGTTCCTCCTTTCACACACCTGGGACACCCTCCTCCAGAGAACACCGGGCGACGGGAGGCGTGGTCAGTCTGAGCGACCTGCCAGGTCCATCAGGCTGACCACGCCTACAGGAAGTAACAACAGCTGATATACGACACGTCACCACCAACATCGGTGACAGTTCTGAAGATGGCTTGCAGCTAGCAGCTGAAACATGTCAACTAGGTAAATACACTTTACTGCATTGTCTTTAAAAAGAACCTAAGAAGTTAATGTATTGAGCTGAATTTTTACTTCAGCAGCGGTGAGAATCAACTCTACATTCTCAGCATTCTGGTTTGTGAACTCTTTTCTTTAAAAAGTTTCAAATAACTTTGTGAAAAAAATAATAATAATAATCTTGCCATCAACTAATTAAAAATAAAATAAAAAACTATAACTTGA